ACGCACCAGCTCTGTAACCATGATTGGCCAGATTCCAATAAGACTTGGTGGTCGTAAACGCAAAAGCAAAACACGTATGCAGAGAAACACGGCGGATCGAATGGAAGGTGACTGTGACACTCGCAAATTTTCTGACAGGCGTTCTGGATAATCAATTTATAAGGATTAAATATAATAAGCTTTCCTTTTAAACTTCCACTACTATATTCTTACTCTGAAGCTATGGTTTACATGCCAACAGTTACGAATTACTGCTTCTTATCACTCATGTTTTTCAGTCATGAATTTTAACATCTTGAAACCTTCTAATCTTATTCAATATAACGCTTCAAATTTCTTTACCTTGGATATCGTTCATTTGCGCCTGGTACTGATCGAGCTCGGATCCAAGTACAACAAATGCCAATCGTTTCACAGCCTGGGCCCTTGCTTCATACTCTTGTTCCTTCGACGTCATGATACTGAAGGACGCGTTTGGTGTGTAGGCAATACTTTCTGAAAATTAGAGTAATTCGCCAACAATGCAACATTCTAGTGATCTATATTTGCAATAAATACAAAACGGCAAAAACAAACTAAGCAGATCCTTGAATGATGTCTTGTCATGTGTCATAAGATGATCAGTGACTATCAACCACTGCTTCAAAGAATGCATGTCCATTTTGAAAAATGCTGAAAATGAGTAGCTTTTACTCAGGGAAGGCAACACACAGACAACAACTTACGCTAAAAAAAAAGATGTATGTGCATAGGTAATTTGTCATCTAGACTTTTGCACCATGCTAAGAAATCTTTGTTTAGACTTGTTGTTAAGTTTTTGTTACTATTGGTCAAATGGAAATGAATAGAAAGGTTAGTTTGCTTCGAATTGGTGAAGTTCATCAGTCACTATCTAACCAATGGCAATGGTAAAAGCTAGAAGTGTATGGTAGGAAGAATTTCCTAGTGACTCCCAAATGAATTTCATATTAGAAAAAAACTCTAAGAATATTTCGTGGAGAAATGTTTGAAACGTTTCAAATTTCCTTTATGTAACAAATGATGTGGGTTGCTCACATGAATCAAGGAGGAGTTCAAGCGTAGTTTTCTTCCAAACGGGACGCATATAACTAAACGAACTCATGGACGCCAACAGCTGAGAAGAAGCCAAGAAAAACCGTGAGTTTCGAGCACTGAAATATATACCGCCTTGAGTGGCACATTGCGACATTGGAAAGAAAACTGAAAAAACATACTTTTTTGCTTTCAAATAAGGAACAACATTTCCCCAGACAGCGTGGAGCGTCGGCAAAAGCCGCTCTTTGTCATCACTTTTACAAACAGAATCCACCAACTCAGCCAAATTCTAAAGCAAGAAAGAACACGTAATGCAGTATAAGCCAAGTAATCAGTTGAAACCTCTGCCAATAAGAAAAGCGCTTGAGTACTATGAGCTGGATCACGTTTATTGTTGTTCGTATCCTTGACCGAGCTACGAAGATTAGAACTGCTTTTCTTCTCAGCTAATGAGTTTACGCTGGAACCGGCATCCAAAGAAGAAGGTCTGCAAGTCGATATCATGCGGAACGGTGGTAATAACGTAAAAGTTCAAAACATTTAAAAAAACTCTCTCGCCAATCGGGCTTTGCTTAACAAATGCAACAATTTCTAATCGAGTACATACCGTGCCATCAGTGATAGAGTTGAGCCACGCATAGAACTCTGTTCAGACTGGTTCAGAGAGGGCAGCGGTGTATTGAGAGGGGTACTGGTCTCCACGGATGGACTGGTATCTTGCGAGCGAATGGCTAAGATTATCAAATTTTATGAAAGTATAAAATGTATTTCAATTCCAGATAAGCTGTCTTAAAAACCTTGGTCATGTTTGACTACAAGAGTTCTCTTCAGCCATGTGGTTGTTTCTAACTGCCAGCCAACGATAGCGTTAACCGCTTCAGTGAGTCGCTGTACTGCGTCTTGAACTGCTCGAGACATTATCTTGTCCTCAA